GCACAGACACACTTCCGTCTAGTCTTGCCATTTAGCCTAGTGGTTCCATGGCCTCTGTCAAGGAATGGACATTGTTAACAAAGCCCAATGCTACAGATAAATACCCAAAGGACACTCCATTCAGTCATAAACCTTAGCTCCAGGGCACTCGATTCTAGCTTTGGCGGCTAGCAAACGAACACGACTGCTACCACTACTTTGCTGCTTCGCTGGTGCCACAGCTTTCTGTCCCCGGATCAAAGATTCAATGGGCAGGGATATCCACTTCTGCTCCTGCCTCTTCTTTCTTACCATACTTATTGTCATTGAGTCAAAACTGACAGCAATCCACTCTAGGGTTCTGAGGCTGTTTATGGAGTAGAAGCCCAGCCTTACCTGGAGCTCCTGGTGGTGTCAAATTGCTGATCAAGGTGGTTACAGCCCCACACCACCAGGACGCCTCTTAGTTCCTTATGGTACTGCAATCCCACTTTCTACTTCTGAGATGGCTCATTTTACACTTACAAGGATGGCAAAATTGACACATCCCCAAGTTACAGTCCAAAGTTTGTATATACAATCAACCCTATTAACAATCACAACTGAATCATGATCCTATCAGCATCTCTCCTCATTTCTTACCTGGACGCATCAGGAAATGAGGAAATACACCCAATCTACTTGCCCTCCACTAGTCTGTCAAGTTTGTTGTATTGTGGTGGCTTGCGTGTTGCTGTGATGCTGGAAGCTACTTTACTGGTATTTCAAATGCCTATAGGATCACCCAAAGTGAACAGGTTTCGACTGAGCTTCTAGACCAGCGGTTCTCAACCTGTGGGTCACAACCCCTTTGGGGATCAAATGACCCTTCACAGGGGTCGCCTAAGACCATTGGTAAATACATATTTCCGATGGTCTTAGGACACTGCTCCTCTATCTATCTCCAGGCGGGTCCTCCCACATGCAAATACGCCCACATACGAGTACCTGGTGTGATGACATCATTGCACCAAACCCATCACATATACCGCGTACAAATACAGTTGTATGTGACAGGGTTAGTTCCATAATGTGCTTATGCAGACCAGTCACACGTGTAGAGAGCAGCTACTGTATAGAAATCAGCTACTCTGTTAAAAGCAGCAGTATTGGAGGTAAAATGACACTTCATGAATTATAATTAATGGGTAAATATAAAATCATGTATTGTAAAATCATCAACTACTGAAAAAAAAATCTGTACCATGGGAACTTAATCTGGATACTGATCGGTCTTTGTATATTCATTTGTGGTTGATGTGAATACTGCCCCCTTGTGATAGTAACAGGTATGAAAAAACAACATAGAATGGTACATCTTAGGAAACTTTAATGAACTGTATTGACTGAACGATGTCATGTATCATCTTTTGTATTATTAAAGCTATCATGATATATTATTTTCATTAGCAAACTATTCCATGACAATCGTAGAGAAGAACATTAAGAAAAGAAAATATAGTAAGGATTTTTTACAGTATGGTTTTACCTCAATAATTATAGCAGGAATTGAGAAACCGCAATGTGTTATTTGTTATGAAGTTCTATCAGCTGAATCTATGAAGCCTAACAAACTAAAGCGCCATTTTGATAGCAAGCATCTGAGCTTTGCCGGCAAAGATACCTACTATTTTAGAAGCAAAGCTGACGGACTCAAGAAGGCCAGACTTGACACTGGTGGCAATTACCACAAAAAAACATAGTAGCTGTGGAAGCTTCATGTTTGGTGGCACTCAGAATCGCCAGAGCTATGAAACCTCACACCATGGCTGAGGATTTACTGTTGCCAGCAGCCAAAGACATTGTTCGAGTTATGGAGGCGAATTTGTTACAAAATCGAATGCAGTTTCCTTATCTAATGACACTGTTCACAGAAGAATAGATGACATGTCTACTTTCTTGATCAGGTAATCCAGGAAATTAAATCTGCTCCACTTCCAATATTTAGCATCCAGCTTGATGAATCTACAGACATTGCAAACTGTTCACAGTGATTGGTTTACATGAGGGATATTAATGATGGAAACTTTAAAGATGAGATTATTTTTTGCAAACCTCTTAAAACAACAACTACTGCACATGATGTATTTGACATAGTTGGTTCATTTCTGAAAGAGCATAAGACCTCTTGGGAAAAGGCTTGTGGTGTTTGCACAGATGGTGCTCCAGCTATGTTAGGATGTTGATCTGGATTTCAATGTTTGGTACTGACTGAATAAATCACCAAAAGTCATCGGCACTCACTGTATGATTCATCGGCCAATATTAGCAACAGAGATGCTGCCACAAGAGTTACAAGAAATAATGAAAAGCGTCATAAGTTCTGTCAATTATGTAAAAGTGAGCACTTTACACAGTCGACTGTTTCCGCAACTGTACAACAAATTGGATGCACTGAATCATGCTCTGCTATGTCACATTGAAGTGAGATGGTTGTAGAGAGGAAAAGTTTTAAAACGTGTTTGCTTTTTAAATACTTTTATTGGGGGCTCTTACATCTCTTATCACAAACCATACATTCCCCCAATGTGTCAAGCACATTTGCACATATGCTGCCATCATCATTTTCAAAGCATTCTCTTCCCATTTGAGCCCCTGATATCAGCTCCCCATTTCTTCCCCCTCCCTCCCCTGCCC